TATGCTGAGCTCTCCTACACTCTGTAGTAGAGTATTGAAGTTCGGTCATCGCCTTTCTCCCTCTTTTCGCTTAAAATGGGAGTAGCTGATTGCTGATGAGTGTATCGCAAATTGGTAGTGATCAGAATCGATTAGTCAATATAGATAGATGTCTCTGGGTGGAACTACCCTTCATATCTTCTTTACTACTTGAAATACCAGCAGTTTGCACTTGGGTAGACAAGAAATTCGTGGCAAGCAGACAGACTGGTAGAAAAGTGTACCCACAGATGAACACAGATCACGTGCATATGACATGTTTAACCCTTTGCGAGTAAACAGCAGGCTTCCCGAATGAAGCGTAGTGCTTCCGGAACGATTCCTTGGTTTGAAAACACTACGATCATTGCAGAATGCAAAGGTGTAGAACTTGCGAGCGTATAGGATTGTTTTCGTGACCCTCACCCTGTGTAACACGAAATTGGTTCTTTGGAAAGGCGGTGCTCACGGATTTGCTCTGATTTTGTGGTATGACGGTTTTAATCTTCCTGGAGCCGTCTGGCGCGTACAATTGAGACTCTTTTGCTGCTGAGAGGCCTGAACTGGGAGAGGCAACTGTTCCGGAGAGCTCCTTGGCAGGAATGTCATTGGACCGAAACTTGTGCTGGGCAATTGGAGCACCTCAAATGTTGAGTATATCCTTTTATTTGAAAACTCATTTCATCTTACAGTCAGGCTGCCATTCTCGATTTTCTCTAGCCCTCATTATAAGGTCGATATCGCAGTGAACCTGTCGCATTTTTCGGAGTGGGCTCCTAGCGCTCCCCCTTTCTAACGATGGCGGGTGAACCCATACCGTGCCCCATACGGGAATAATCCAGTTCGCCGTGAAATGTGCACTTATCTTTAGAGTTCCCACAAAAAAAGAGTTATGAGCTTTTGCCTTTGATCCCATCTGCTTCAATCTCCTATGCTGTGGTAGATTTCGTATTTGTCCTTTCGAAAGGGCGGGTACCGAAGAGGACGGCGAGGAGAAAGACTTCTATCGACCTGTGATAGCAGATATTTCCATTACATGTTACTGAAATCTCTCAGTTTCGAATCAAACGAGCAGTTTTGAAGAGGCAAAAAATGAATGGCAACCTTGAAACTGTTTTGGACAAAACTGAAGGCTCCATCCGTTTATCTCATTGAGATACGCCACGTATTCCTTAAGCTGAGCCTAATACATCCACGTTAGAACACCGAATTCTCCAAAGTCTATTCCGCCCGTCGAGCTCAAGTGGTTAGGCTGGCTCTCTTGGGCTTAGGCAGATTTACAGATTATAAATAAAATCAAGGAAGGAGGGTCTGTTGGAGGGAGCACATATTGATTCAAAAAGTTGTGCAAATAATGAATTGCATATCAACTAGCTGCAGTGGATGTAGCCTTATTCAAACAGTTTCTCTGTAATCGTCCAGATTTAGTTTACTCGGTAAAGAAAAATATTTAATTTCAGAGTGTTCAAGATTTTCCCATTAATTCATTCGCTGACAACATCACAAGAAGCTCTAGTTACTGTAGGTCCTATCTTCATTCCCATCAGGAATATTCAAACTACTGTGTATACGTTTAGGCGACGAAAGATGTAATCAGGGAGTTCAGTAACGATGGTGTCGTTTATTTGGAGCTCAGATCCACTCCTAAAGCTACAACAGAGATGTCAAAGGAAGAATATGTTCAGGCTGTGATTGATGGTACGGCGCAGTTTGGCTTCTCCTCGAAATCTTCTGTTACTTCAATTAAGAGAACTCTGTGTCGTTCCTTCAGGTATCTTACAAGCATCTAGGGACAACGACATTATTACGAGGCTCCTACTTAGTATAGATAGACGACAAACAATTGAAGATGCGCAGAAAACTGTGGATATTGCTGTGGCCGACAGTTGGTACTATTTTCTCGATTACACCCTAACATATGAGCTGCGGGTTTCTTGTGCGACAAGGAAAGATTGCAGCCTAACTAAGGCCCTTTCAAAAAAATCTGCAAAGGTCTTGCATGAGCCTCAATATGTAAAATAAAAAACGTTTTTGGTTTCTTTTAATTATGGAGAGCCCTAGACTTGTTCGCTGCGCACCCTTAAACTCGCCAGGAGCTGTTTCTGCGATACAGTTTGAAAGTGTAAATCCGCTATCAAAAACATGGGCAATATCTTCGCGAGGAGCGCATTACACGAGATGTACTGAGGCCTAGTTCATGCACACAAGGAGCATATAGGAGCCCTCAATGTTTAATTTCTGAAAAGCTCACATGAACGCACGATTCCTCTGATTCCGAGCGTTCGTGTGAGCCTCTTATTCTTATCCGCTGAGCTGTGTATGTGCTATGTTATTTGCGTCTACGGGTTCGACCAACTTATGGTACTGGCCACATAACCCCAGGCAGGCTTTTGCAAATGGGGTTATGTGGCCAGTGCCATAAGAGAACGATCATCGTCAGGAGTTGAACTCAAGCTCTTCCTGAACGTTCTCCTCTGACCGTGTGGTTAAGTCCTAGAACGGACTAGTAGAGATTTTAGTGGGGACTGTAATTTTTTCCCACTTTAAAAGTCTTATCGGAGGGCGACATCGTGTTGGAGTTCTGCTAGCGCCCTCGAGTTTCTAGCTAGGATGTGATTCTGACCTCGCCTTGGCGTATGACGTGTTGTTCCGCCCGCTGACTTATCTCCATTTTATTTCTGATTACTTCAGGTGCTACTCATATGGAATATACAGGATCATTTCGTTGAGCCAGCCATATTCTTCTGCTTTCTATTATCTCCCATCCTTTTACCAATCGATTCGATGTGTCTCACATACTTGCTTTTCTAGAATCTGGAATAATCGTTGGATTGGAGCTAAGTGGTGATCCATCAGTGGATGGTCGAAAGTTTATTCCTGTCCTCCAAAGAGCTCGTGCTTCCGGACTGAAAGTATCAGTCCACCTGGCAGAAGTTGGTCACGTTCATTAGTTTTCTTGTTGTAATGGCTCTCCCTAGGCATGTCGAGTCAGTTCAAGCTATGAGTAGCTCCTTGAGCTTGGATTGATAATCATCTGCTCTTTTACAGGTCAGCAATCAGTTGGACGAAGTGGACGAATTTCTGGCATTTCGCCCAGATCGAATTGGACACGGCACATATCTACATACTAATGAGCATTTCGTCGATCTGGTCATGGAACACCGAATTCCACTAGGTTCAAAAACAAAATATTTTGTATAGATATGAACCGAAATTGTTTTAGAATGGAACGAATCCCGCTTGTAGATGAAATTGACCAACATCCCCTTATAGATGTTCCGTCATTGAAGGTTTGCAGCATCACCACTCCACGCCACCCACCACTGCCACCGATAAGCCCCTAGCCATAAGTTTGAGCGTACACCCGTGGTAATAAAGTTTCACAATTTACGCGACATCCACGTTTAGACGCTCGACTTTTGGACTATTTGGAAAGGCTATGCTTGAGGCAACAGCGAAATGTGAGCCACAGTTCTGAAAAAGGGAAATGTGCTACAGGGCTCTCTAAATTTCATCGAGCTCAAAAATTTCCCCTGCAGCTCTGTCGTTAAACACTCCAAACGACAGATTAGGGAACAGAAATCGCTATTTTAATGGGAAATTGAGGAATGTTGTGAACTCCAAGGCCTTCTCGGTTTCTGCGCATATGCTCATTATAAGACTTTGCGGGTCTCCCACTTTTTGCAAGACTTCTAAATCTGTATTTTTTCAGAGATCTGTTTAACGTCAAACGTGATGAGCATGACGACAGCTACGGTGGAAGACTCACACCTTCGATACTGGCGTGACAGAATGGTGCCGTTCTGTATTTGCGTAAGTGCATAACCCATAGAAATCAACCAAGAATAATCGCCATGTACGGCTATCTCTAAACCTCGGCATAGTGCAAACGTTGGTTTTCTTTGCTTGAACTCGAACGAGGTTGATAAGAAAACAACTTTATTCCGGCTAACGTTT